GAGCAACATTAGGGTCACTGGAAACTAAGACAGGCACTAGAAGGCTGGAGCTGGAGGCACTTGCACCTAGAAGTTTAAATTCTACCGGGACCCAACCAATAAACGGTATTGTTGTTTGGTTGGCAGCAAGCCCATTTAATGGCTCTGGTCCTAAAAGTTCATCTATCCCCCTAATGGTTGTATGAGGTAAGTGCTCAGACCTCCATTTATCACTGATTACAGTTGCCTGGGCCCCAGTATCCCACAGTGCTGTAACTACTATGTCATCAAAAGTGCACTTAACCATTTTACGTCGACCAATCAGTTTGATAATTTTTTTTTCCCTTGTTTGTTTGCCAGGTTATCAACACTCCCTATCTGTGAGGACCACCTTGTTTCTTCCTTGTTACCCAAATATTGTTCAACTAATCTCACTGTTTTACACATGTGTTTGTGTTCTTGCCAGTGGTTTTCCTGACATGTTGTAGGGCAATAACAGGCAGATGAACAGCTTGTGCAGGTCTGAAGAGGTGAGTCGCCTTTCTCCTCCAGATGACAGTAGCAGCAGTGGCGGGACTCCTGATGAGACGGCCGGGTCACTGCTGGTCCCGTGGCAGTGGCCCTCCGTCGTTTCCCTGCAGCGGACGCGAAGCTCTGCAACCTCTGGAGATGTGACCCGACTGGCCACATTTGAAACAGTGGGTGCAGTTGTCTCCCTCTCCGTTATCCTGGCAGGTCTTGCAGCCTCTCCTCCGACGGGGTCCTGCGTTGTCTACTGGCCTCCTGGTATGCTGAAGCTTGTTGTTATTAAGAGAAGCTAGCACCATCTGTGTTTCACCTCTGCAACCTCAGCCTTAAGTTCTGTCACTAAGGCTTGTACCTCCGGTGGAGCTCGGGTTGGTTTGGTGTTTCTCCTTGGCTGGAACTGAGGTAGTCAGTGGGCTGCTGTGTGGTCCCTCTGCCGTCAGCAGTTCGTTAATCTTTGGCACTTTGGCATTGTTTCTCTTTAGCTTGTTCAGCCTCTCCATTTCAAGATTGGCTGCCTCATTCAGTTTCTCAATCAAGATTTCATCAGTCACATCCGGGTTGTCGAGAAGCGACTTTATCTGAAACTTAATGTTGTCATTCAGTAGACCTGTACCCACTGACCTCAGAAACTTCCTCTTGACCAAATCTGCTCCATAGTGCTCCTCCTCTTTTCCTCTGGATATATACAGCAGCCTGTCTTTCAGCTCAATGGCTCTGAAGAGGAACTCTTGAGGAGACTCTTTTGGGTCCTGGGAAATGTTGATCAGTTTTTGATACAAGTCTGATGTATCATCTTCTCTGTAATGTCCTTTCAGTATTGTTTTTAACTGAGTGAGTGTCAAATCAGTCTTTATTTCCAACATGTCACGAAGTTTGAGCCCAGGGCTGATGGCTCTTATCACTGCTTCAATCACCTCTGGCTCACTGTGGCCTTTGCGGAGCCCATTGTCTATTTGATGGAGCAGGTTGGTATAGGACAGCCTGTCACGTTGTCCACCCTCCCCTATCTGGCCACTGATCCGAAACTCTCTACGGATGGTTACTTCAGGGATCTTTCCTGGTACAGGATTATGAGCCGGACTGGGTGCGGCGTCTGCCATGTTCAGCTTCTCCTCTATCGCTCTGATTTCTCTCTGTAGCTCCTTGTACCTTTCAGACGCACGGGAAAAATCACGCCACTCCTCAGCATCGCCTTTCGACCCAGTGTGTCCTATGGCTAATAAAAGTTGTTGCACATACTGGATGGCTTCCTCGAGCTCGTAGTCTGTCTCGACTTCATCCAGTTTATGTTCGATTATTTTCATTAGCGCTCTGCGGCTCATGTCCTTAAGTAACCCTTCCCCTGCCTCACATTTTAGCAGGTTACAGGCTTCTACGAGCTGATCCTTGCTTCTTTGGCATAAAGTAGTAGTAAGTTCGTCTCTCAGGTTTTCTAGCTCCATTTTGCGTACTCACAAATCAACTTGTTATCCGTTGTTCCAGGTTCGTTTTTGGAGAGAGGTTTTTTTCAGCAGCGCGAGGACGCTAACGTTTTCGGCTAACGGTTACTAACAGAAGTCCTTTTTCTCACGCTCAAAGTTCGTTTAAAACCAATCTCCTGGCTGGCTCGCCATGATGTTACAGATCTTTAGGCACAAAAACGATTCCGTTCTCTTCCACAGGGGATATTTATTACAAAGCCACACACAATTTTTTTAAATCGGCTGTAACAGTCCCCGCTCCCATACCGTGCCTAGCCGCGGTCCAAAACAAAAAAACACACGTCAGTCTAGTTCAAGGCACGTACCAAGAAACTGTGCGGGGCGTTCAAATACATCTCGCAAAAACAACAACAATCAGAATTCAAAACAACAAGAACAAGGGTACACTAATTCATCACAATCATGCGTAACTGTAAAGTTCATTCACAAGTTAGTGTACAAACAAATAACAGTTACAGTGTAGAAGCAGTGGCGGGCCGTGCATTTCAACCTTAGGCCTTCAGTGACGCCCCATACATTAACTTCACCTCAATATAGGCTAGTCAAGCAGCACTTTATTTCAGGAGCATTTAAAACCATCAAGTATGCATTCACAATTAAGATTAGGAAACTAAGTTCACAGATATTGTCAAAAATAAAAAGGTGATTTAAAAATACTAAACAAAATGCCACCAAAATTACGCTGTGTGATCTTAAACAAGTCTGTCTAATAAATTGCGCAATGTCGCCGTTTCATATAAGACACCAACCAGACAATAACAAAACAAACTATTCTTTGAAAATAAAGTTAAGAGATCGTTTGCATTTTTGAGAATAGGCTATACAACAGCAAATAACTGAAAATATTGCAATGACAAGAAGAAATTGAAAATAAAATGCATTTACTCACCAACATAGTTCTCAACAGCGTCTGCTTATTTGAAAATAAAGTCGAGCCTCCTTTCTTTTCTCAAGAACACTTCAGTGGCTCTGTTGTACAGTTTATCGGCGCGTTTTAGGTCCATCAGTAAGTCCTTTTCTATGGACATGGAGGCTAATGCTGAAAGCCGTTTCTGTCCGGTCGTGTTTCTGGCATAAGTTTTAATACGCTTTAACGTTGAAAATGACCGCTCGACAGATGCAGTGGATACAGGGATAGTAACAGCCAAACAGGCCAGTGCGTAAAGTTGTCCCAAACTCTCACTCAGATTTTTGCTCCGAAGAAAATCATGAAGATCAGCTGGACTTCTCCCTTCAAAATCAACCATGGCATACATTACAGTCAGTTCTGTTTTAAGTCGGGGAAGATCAAATAATGATCCGTGGCTCTGTGTTAAGCTGGAGAAGGCTGTTTGTGGAAATTTTTTCCTGTATATCTGAAAGTGCTGAGGGTCGAGAAGGGAGAGAGAAACATCAGCCTTTCGTGGTCCTGAAATCGAGTCCGTGTCTGGGAAAGAATGTTGTCCAGAATGCTGGTGTGGAGACGTTGGTAGTGTGCGCGCAGGTCGTCTTGTGTCGCGCCCTGGCCTCTGCGCGCGCTTGGACCACCTGAGATGCGCACTGTTTCTTCGTATATTTCACTGAATTTGTCCCTTGCTCGCTCAACTGTGTCACAAAATTCGTTCACCCTTGCCATGCAAAATTGCACATCCAGTGATTTTGTCTGAAGTATTCCAAAAAGCACATCAGCATACTCAAAAATCCCATTGAATATGTTGAGCAAAAAACAAAACTCAAAATCACCCAGACGTGCAGTAAATCCATCGGCAGAAAGCACAGTGTCCTGATCATACTCATCATGGTGCTCCAATATGTGATCAAACAGTTCCTTCAACGCAAGTCTCTTCTCATAAACTGCATTCACCAATCTTGATGTATATTGCCACCGCGTCGGCACAACTTGAGGAAAACGCCGCTTGCATATGTTGTCTAGTAGTTTAGTGCGCTTCGGGGATCTGGAGAAGAATGCAGCGAGGCCATTCACATTGGCTAAAAAGACCTTACACTCTTTAAGCTTTGAGGCCCCTTGCATCAGTACTAAATTTAGACGATGCGCATAACAATGAATGAATAAGGCCATAGGTGCCTTTTCTTTAACTTTAGCCTGCACCCCATTCAACCCGGATGCCATTACCACTGCACCGTCATAACACTGTGCCACAACTTTGTCCAGAGAACATTCATATTCCTCAAATAAATGGAAAATAAGAACGGCAATGTCATCAGCTCGTTTGCCACTGGTTACATCCTCAAATTTTATGAAACGCTCCTTGACACCTGTGTCCGTCATATAGCGCAGGACGAGTGATAGCTGTGCCATGTTACCCACGTCAGTGGTTTCATCAACCATCACTGCGACAAAGGGGGCTTTTTTGATCTCCAGTTTGATCTCGTCTCCCATCACTTCAGCAATAGCATAAATTAGGTCATTCTGTATTTTTCCTGATGTCCCAGTAAACACCCTGTTAGTTGTCAGGTGGTAATGCAAGTCTGCGTCATGTTCTGCGAGAAAAGAAAGAAGTTCCACGTAGTTACCTCTATTTAAGGACTGGGCGCCTTCATCGTTTCCCCTGAATGAAAGTTCCTGTTTACCCAAAAACATGACACAATCCATCAGTCTTTTTAATATCTCCCTATTTTTTTTCACTTTTTCGTTGTGGAGCTCCGTCTCCCGGCGTACTTGTTCGCTGAGCTGCAGATCTACTCGAATGTCCCCAAACGTTTTTAAACGCACCGTAGCTTGTAAGTGCCCAGCCGTGCTCTGATGCTTCGTTGCTGCCTTGGTAAAACAACTTAAGTTGGCAAACCCAGTGTGGCTCCAAACACCAAATCGATCAGTTGCAAGCAATAGGCATTCCCAGCAGTACAATTTGCAGCGTTTCTCAGAGGCTGTAAGCCACGGGTACCGTTCATAATTGGTTGTCTGAAAATGTCGGACAAACCCTTTTCCTTGCTGGGATAGGCTAGCTAGCGCAGGGGTTAAGCGACCTCTTCTTACGATATCCAACTTTTCCTGAAAGGGCCGTCTTGAAAATGGCGTGGAAAGTAGATCTGCAACCAGATCAATGTCTTCTCCTTCGGCCATTATGGGTTAAAAATACAGCTGGCTCTTGAATTTCCGTGTTTATTTCAATTCTCCAGATTGCCGCTTGTCAGGCCCTAGCAAGTGCTAATCCAATCACCGAACGCGCACGGGTCGAGTTCAGCGTAAGACCTTCTAGCTAGCCTTGGTACGCAGAATCGAGATCTGATTGGCTATTGCAACCTGACTGTGCCCGTTCACTTACAGTGCACAGGGGCCTGCTCTGTTTATTCTGAAGGTCTCAAGCAAATTTAATTTACTTGACAACACAAGCTAGCTGAAATATAATTGGTTAAAAACTCTACCATAAAAAACACTATTGGAAGCCACTCGACTAAGTGGAAATAATATGACGTAAAGAATACAGAGAATAGAGAATCATTTTGTTTACATATTTATGAAAATAAAATAACATAAATTTACTTTTCTTGAGCATGTTTAGGCCAGCAGAGAAGGCCTTGCTGGCCCTGACGGCCCACCACTGAAGCTTAAATGTAGTGGAGTAGCAGTATAGTAGTAAAGTAGTAGTTAGTAGTAGTAGTAGTAGTAGCAGTAGTAGTAGTAGTAGTAGTAGTAGTAGTAGTAGTAGTAGTAGTAGTAGTAGTAGTAGTAGTAGTAGTAGTAGTAGTAGTAGTAGTAGTAGTAGTAGTAGTAGTAGTAGTAGTAGTAGTAGTAGTAGTAGTAGTAGTAGTAGCAGTAGTAGTAGTAGCAGATGACCCATGTCAGAAACAAGCTTCAAATGAATCAAATATTTATATTTTATCTCTAGTTTTGCAAAGATCAGCTTTATGTTGTATGTCATTGATTGTTTTGCATTAATTTATCACCATAGAGAAGAAAATAATATAAAAACAAAGCGCAAAAAGTATAAATAAATAAATAATAATAATAATACATTCTAAATAAGTAACAAAAACAGAGAGAGACGTGTGTGAATAAGTCATTCATACATATTCCCTGTGTGTGTGCAGGTGTGTTCCAGAGGAGAGGTGATCCGGGTGAAGGTTCTGGGGACTCTGGCTCTGATCGACGAAGGACAAACCGACTGGAAGGTCATAGTCATCAATACAGAGGACCCCCAGGCAAACGAGTTTAACGGTAACACACACGTACTACTCAACTACAGTCACATCTTTGTCGTTTCAGAATTGTATAAAGGACAATATTAGTTGCTGCAGTTGTTACTCAAAAGTCTGCCACATGTAGATTGTTGTTATTCTTAAAGACCTTTTACCATTCAGATGTTTTTCTCAAAATGTCTGACTAAAATGAGTCTCTTTTCAAACTGAATCTGTTTCTCTCGTCACAGATATAGAGGATGTGCGCAGGTTGAAGCCGGGGTATCTGGAGGCCACACACGATTGGTTCAAACGATACAAAGTCCCAGACGGAAAACCAGAAAATGAGTTTGCTTTTAACGGAGAATTCAAGAACAAGGTACAAATATTTTAAAGCTTTTGATTTCAGTGTATTATAATTATACAGTATGTGATGCTTCAGATTATACACAAATTACATATTTAAAAACAGTATATTATAAGATTAGGACAATATTTAATCCAAGAGAACTGTTGAAGTTACTTAGACTTTTTTGTCCTGGTTTAGTTCAGGTTTAGATCTGGTTTGGTTAATATTTGGACCTGGTTCACTCCTGGTTTAGTCTGGGTTTAGTCCCGGTTTAGATTGGGGCTAGTCCTGATCTAGTCCTGTTTTAGTCCAGGTTTAGAGCTGGTTTGGTTATTGTTTAGTCGGTGTCTAGTCCTGGTTTAGATCTGGTTTGATTAATATTTGGGCCTGGTTTATTATTAGTTTAGTCTGGGTTTAGTCCTGATTTGGTTAATGTTTAGATCTGTTTTAGTCTTGATTTAGTCCTGATTTAGTCCTGATTTAGTCCTGATTTAGTCCTGTTTTAGTCCTGTTTTAGTCCAAGCTTAGTCCCAATTTTGATGTGGTGTGAGAATGTGAGAACATTCATTCATTCACTGAACTAAAAAGCACTTACTTAAAAATCACTTATACTTTATTATTGTTTTCTTGTTTGTCTCATTGTCTTGAAGTAATACAACAAGTGTTTGTTCTTTTCCAGGACTTTGCCACTAAAATTGTGAGGGGCACTCATCAGTACTGGAGAGCTCTGATCCTAAATCAAGCTGAGGCTGGAGAACTCAACTGGTGAGGATTTAATTAAACTAAACTTAGAGGTCCAGGTCTGTTTTTGTGGAGACAATAACATTATAACACGAATTAAAGCTCACAAGAGTCTGTTTTGTGTAATATGGGACCTTTAAATCGTGTGTGTGTTTCTTTCTTACCCTTAGCTCGCTCATAATTAATACCTGTTGCTATACATACTTTATAATTGCTTGTTTTATAATTTTAAATTCTTTTGTCTCCAGTATCAACACAACTGTTGCTGACAGTCCATTCCGCATTTCAGCAGCAGCAGCAGAGGACATAGTCAAAGCGGTGAGTTTATTTTACTGTTTAAAGACACTATGGAACTTTTCTGGTAAATATAGCCTGTCCCCCACCTCCTTGTCTCAATCGTTATTCTATTGGTTTGCTTGGAATGTTCCACAGTATTGCATTAAATGCCCTGTATCTATTTTGCATTTAATAAATTTAATGTATGTGTTTTTATTACTACCTAACAACTCAGCTTAACAGCGTCATCTGCTTATCATGATGGAAATAAATTCGTTTCATGTCATACTACGGAAAATTTCAGGCAAAACAATAAAGATAGAAGTATATGGCAATCCCTCCACCATAAAAGTTACACAGTGTGTCTTTTATTTATTTATTAAAGTCTATAAAACTGTCCTTTTTTTTTTTTTTTTTAAATTTTTCAGGCCAGTCCTTTGGGACCTGCAGCACCCATTCCCAGTTCAGGTAAAACATAACATTTGAAATTGCATAATGTAAAGCTGTTTTAAAAGTATTATTAATGTATTACTTTAAATTATAACTCCACGTATTTTGTTTTTCTCAGTTGACAAATGGTTCTTCTTGGAGAAATGAGAAGATGCAGCAGAGAAACCGGAAAAAGCGCCTTTTATTTTATTCACTATAACTCAGATAATCACCTTATCTGTTAAAAAACACTGTGATTCTTACTTAATAATGAAATAAAATATATGAAAATTGTGTTTTGTTCATGATGATTTGTATAATAAATAATTCAAACATATGGCATTGTTTTTAAGGACAGGGCAAGATCAAACAAAAAAGATTTTTTATTACTGTTGACAATCTACAACAATATAAGTTACATTACATTTCATCATTATTAATTAAAATTTAAAAAATAAGTTTAAATATGGGGTACAATAAAAGGTAGCCTATGTGAAAAAAGTCTGTGTGATTTAACATGCAATAAACAATTTGAATGTTCTTGATGTTTTTTTTATAATAAATAATTAAAACAACAATAAGTTACATTTCATTACAAGACTGTATTGATTTATTTGAATTTGTACTGCAACCAATGCTTATTTCTTTTAAATAAAAAAATTAAGAAAAAAATAAATAGTAAAATAAAAATATATGTACAATTCAAAATACATGAAATTAACAAAAAATAAGAGTTAAAATAAGTTACATTAACTGAAGGTATGAGAAAAGGCTTTAGTAATTTATGTATAATAGTGCACTTTATTGTAATTAAACTAATATTTTTGTTTGCTAACCCTGCCATTTCACGTTGCAGTTAAGAATAAAAAAAATAGTATAACTTTTAAAACTTAAAATAATTGAAAAAGTTAACATATTATCTGCAGAGAGCGCTTCCCACCGGCCAAACAAACTTACCAACCTCAAAACCAGCGAAGAAGTTAAGCCCTCCTCTGATTGGCTGTCTCCAGGATACCACAGGGACCGCTACCTGATCCGTGTCATTGGGTGAGTTTAGCTGCGAAAATCTTGTAAAAATATAACGTAGACTGCATAACAAAGCTTTGGAAACGTCAAATATAAATAAAAACTAATAAGTCGTTATGTCTAATCGATTTCGGTATAAATACAATCTGATTACGTAAAGAAAATTCTAAAAAATGCCGGAATTTGAAGGCTAGCTAGCGCGCTAAGTGTGAGATAAAGCTGTTACGTACCGCTTTACTACGCATATCTAATTCAGTTTCATTAAACGTGGCTCAGTTTAATCAGTGCGGTTTTGGTTAATATTTTAATTAAGAATCATTGTGCAAAACTATTAAACGTGATATTCAAGAAGCAGTTAGATCAGTAACTACAAGTTATTTATTTATTTTATTGAGTCACTACAGCAGGTGCATTGGTGCATTGGCTACTGATGTTTTTTTTTTTTTTTTTTTATTGTTCTATATATGTTAAATTAACTTAAAACCACACTTTGTTTCTTAGGGCAGTGTCCATCACAATGTCTTTTCTATTTGACTGGATTTACAGAGGTTTCAGCAACATATTACAATTTTTAGGTGAGTAATTACAAGTCTATTGATATAATATACATTTATAAAGCAAGTACAAGTTAGTTTAAGAAGCTCTACATTTAAGTCACATGCAAAAAAACGTCTGAAGGCATATAATAATTTATCTTTTATTCCAGGTTTGTATAAAAAGTCTGGGAAGCTGGTTTTCTTGGGTTTGGATAACGCCGGTAAAACTACACTTCTTCACATGTTAAAAGACGACAGACTTGGTCAACATGTGCCCACACTACACCCAAGTAAGAATGAAGTTTCTATAATTTCTAAGTTTCTGATTACATGTACGGTCTATGTATAGCTTATTAAGGGAAAAATATTGTGCTATTTTTCCACAGTATCCTATGCATTTTCGTGTAATCTCATTTTAGTTAATAGTTCAAGTTAATATCATTATGGTTTGTGTTGTAGCATCAGAAGAGCTGACAATTGGAGGCATGACATTTACTACATTTGACCTAGGAGGACACGTGCAAGGTAACAGGACATTTATATATAAATAAATATACATAAGAAACTTATTTTTTTATTTCAATAAAAACTTGCCTTAGGGTGGGCAATGTAGCAAAAAAAAAAAAAAAAAAGAATAAAATCATGATTTTCTAGAAGCCAGATCACAACTCATGTAAACTTGGTCTTTACATTTCCTTCAAGTTTTCTGCTTCTGCTGAAAGTTCACACTTCATTGCAGCTCACTGTTAAGGCTGAGCAACAGGAGGTGGGAAAAAGTGTCTTTGTTTGAGCATAGAGTAGCATTCAAGAGAGACAATCACAATATCGTCTTTGTTACTATATTTCTTACTCCAGGTTTAGTCCTTTAGTCTTATGGATTCATGCAGGTGACATGCCCCCTCCAAAAAGTTATTTCAAAAGTTAGATAAACACTGTAAATTGTAAATATTTTGATGTAAAGATGTAAAGAATTTCTGACAGTTTTATTCATGTTTTAAAGATTTTACCAACAATGAAAGAAATAAGTCATTTCACATGTTGTCCTGTTACCTTCAGCTCGTCGAGTGTGGAAGAACTACCTCCCCGCGGTGAACGCTGTGGTGTTTATGGTGGACTGTGCCGATCACGACCGACTCAACGAATCCAAAACTGAACTGGATGTGAGTCACAGATCCTCTGAGTCAAAGCACTGATACAGATAATATATGTTCCAATCCAATCCAATTAGTTGTTTAAACCATAGACTGTATGAAGAAGTGGACTAAGGGAGTGTGATGTCACCCATCGGCCACTCCATATTAGAAGTATAAACGGACAAAATAGCAAAATAAAAACACCAGGATCCTATTTCAAACGCGTTGTCTAGTGCGTTAGCCATTTATATACAGTCTATGGTTTAAACCTAAAATGTCTCGTCTCTCTCTGATCTGAATGGTCACTGTGTAAATCCCAGCACCTACAGCAATTATGGATCAGTGCTAGTGCAACCTCTGCAGCTCAGGGAGGGAGTTCTGGAGGTTCTGAGCTTTCACATGAGGCCTGAACATAAACTAAGAATGAGACAAACTTGGATGTGTCTCTATCTGCAGGTGAAGCTCTGGAGATGCAGGTTCAGATGTGATTGTAATCATTTTTTTTAATACAGTAAGAGCACAGGCTTCACACAGTTCCTTTAAACATGTGATCCATATAAAACTATACAATATTAAAATATAAATGATGCAGCAGATAAGAAACAGCTTACCTGGGTTTATCCATACGCCCTGATGAAAGCTGTGATACAATAAAGGCTTTTGAACTTTTCTAAACAAAAGGAATGCCTGATTTTTTTGCTGTCTGAGTTTCTGTCCACATTTTTGAGATGTTACTTTACTATTTAAATATTCTCAGGATACGTAAGGGGTCAAATTGCGTTGGTGTGACGTTTTATTTTAAAAACACTGAACTGTTTTAATGTTTTTTAGGCTCTTCTGTCAGACGAGAACATCTCCAATGTCCCAATGCTGATTTTGGGGAATAAAATCGACCGAGCGGAGGCTGTGAGCGAAGGAGCTCTGAGGGGGGCCTTCTGTCTGGACGGACAGCTCACTGGAAAGGTACTAAGGCCGCGTCTCATTTCTCTTTCCTCGCTTCCTTCTCCTCGATTCTGCAGGAAATGGGTGAGGAAGGAGAAAGGATATAAACTTGTCACTGAGGTCAAAAGCTAAAGTTTGATTTTTTTCTCTGACGTTTACTCCTTCACTCCGTGGGTTTCTCTGAGACGACACTTAATATGACACATTTGATTGACAGCTGAAAAATGGAGGATTGAGGAAAGGAATCAAGGAGAAGGAAGCGAGGAAAGAGAAATGAGTTGTGGCCTCTAATAGTTGCATAGTCATTTTTTTCATGATTTATTCCTGTTACCGTCGGCAGAGGGAGCCATTACACCAGTCTCTTGGAAGTTAAATAGCGTTCCTTACATTTGTAAACTATTTGGACTGTGTCACTTTTTGTTTGTGGGTCCGTCACCTGCTTGTTTCCATGGATACGTCATGTCAATATGACATTAAACAACTCTACTTTACATTTATTCATTTACAGGTGGTTTTATAGCTCAAAAATATGTAGAAAAACAGGAATTCTGACTGTGAGCGGGGTCGCCTCTCCACAGATCTGATCTGTAACTTGGTCTGGTTTGGTCTCCATGAAGATAGAAAGGTTTAAAGCCATACTGTGAAATAAGGCTGTGCAATTAATTGAATTTTGATCGCGATTTCAATTTGTGTGTCCAAACTCATATAATCAAGTTGAAACGATTTAAAGCTTAGTTTATTTTGGGATATTTTTTATATAAATAAGTATATTTATTTAATTATTTAAACATACAGATTGTAGAACAGCTGGATATATGATTTATTTTGGATATACAATTATGTTTTTTATGTTTTATTTCATGTTCAAAGTTAATTTTATTCATTTTATGTTTTATACATCGCAAAACTGCTCTAAGGTTCATATTTGTTGCCTATATTTATTTTCAATTTGAAAATTTTACGTAAATTATCAATAACGAAGTGTTTATTTTTGACAGAGAAATGCAAAATAAATGCATTGTTTGAATAATCCTGATTTTAGTATTGACCAGAATAATCGTGATAATGATTTTTTTCCGTAATCGAGACAAAAGGAATATATTTTTTTCCATGGAGAAATGCATTTGACGGACCCTCCACCAGAAAAGTTACACAATGCGTCTTTAAATTAGCTAAATTAATTCATAAATGTGTCTTTTCTCGCAGGGAAACGTGCCTCTGAAGGATCTGAACAGCACGAGACCTCTGGAGATCTTCATGTGCAGCGTTCTGAAGAGGCAGGGCTACGGCGAGGGCTTCCGGTGGCTCTCGCAGTACATCGACTGAGGATAAAGCAATTAATGTAAAGCTGCACTGCGGAACTTTTCTACCACCTGCTTGTGTCCACGGAGATGTCATTGCCTCGCCTGGAATGCCCCGCGGTACGGCATTAAACTATCTCAAGCAGCTGGTGCGTCCAGGCCAAGTTTCAAGTCAGATCTGCGGAGATGCAACGCCGCTGACAGTGAGAATCCAGGTGTTTTAAAGTATTTTTGCACAGTAAAAACACCAACATGAATGTGAGATATATACTGTATGTTTAATGCCATGCTATGGGACATTCCAGGCAAAATAATAGCATCTCCATGGAGACAGCAGGTGGCTAGAAAAGTTACACGCCGCAGCTTTAAAGGTGTATTGTTTAAAAAGTATGGCATTAAACCTTTCTATCTTTGTGGAGACGGTTACGACCCAACTCGCTGGGTCAGGGAAGTAACAAAAAAACAAGGTGGAAAATGGTACAAATTAATGTAAAAATAATTAACAGGAATGTAAAAGGTAAATTAACAAACATGCTAAAAAATGTACAGAAAATAACATAAACTGAGAAACAAAATACTGTATTTTTCGGACTATAAGTCGCACCAGCCAAAAAATGTGTAATGAAAAAAAAAAAACATATAAGTCGCACTTTTTGGGGGAAATGTATTTTATAAAATCAGAGACCAGGAACCAACATTTCATCTTAAAGACAAGTTACAGTAAAAACAATAGAAGAGAGAACAACAGACTGTTGACGTCACATATGAACAGTTCTTCAGATAAACTATAACATAAACAACAGAACAGAACAAGTTTAACAAACTCTCCATCTCACTCCAAATCACTAAATCCATTCAATTCTTCATCCTCGGTGTCACTTCTGAGCAACTCCACGACCTCCGGAGGTAAACAAAGCGCCGCTTCCTCTTCTGTGTCGCTGTCGTCAGACTCAGCATCAGTTCCAGTTAGAATTATTCGGGTCTTTCTTAATCCCGACAGGATGGTTTTAGTGTCACTGAAGTCCAGACTTTGTCCATCCATCCAGTGACTTCAGGAAAGTGTAAGATGAAGCCGAGTCAGTTCCTTTTGATAAGTTTTTCAAAGTTTGGTGCAGCGTCTTCACTCACGCCTGCTCAAGCCGACATCTTCAGGTGCGGCCCTGTCCTGCCGCTTCCCCAGTTTAGGCTCCTGGCTCCACTAATGACATCACTCTGTTACAGCCAATGATATAGCAGCAGGTGTAACCCTGTCGTCACATCACTGAACACATCTCAGAACGTTTAATAAACAAAATATGAACTAAAACGTGTTCAATTAATACTAAAAATATCGGAATAAATTTAGATTTTTTTTTGTATTAAAGTAAAATGGCAAATATTGGTAGGGACTATTTTGTCTTCCCCAAATATTGACTGTGACATGTCCCCACCGTCCCTATGCAAACGTACGTTGTCGGGAGAGGCGACCCCACTCACAATCTGAACATTGTTTTTCGAGGTATTTTTGAGCTCTAAAACCACCTGTAACTGAATAAATGTAAAGTAAAGTAGAGCTGTGTAATGTCACACTGTGGAACATCCTTGAGAAAGCAGTAACATGTCTGTGTAGAAAAGCATTTGATGGTCCCTTCACCAGAAAAGTTACACAATGCACCTTTAAGAATGAATAAACGCTCCCACCGAGTCCCTGTGCGCGCTGAGAATGGAAACAAACCAATGAAATGATCTGTTTTTATGGGAAGCAGCCATTTTAATCTCCGTGTTTTTGTTTTTTCTCAGAGGGATTACAGACGGATTTTGGGTCTTGATGTTCCTCTCTGTAAATATCCTTTTTACTAAATCCTTAAAATTTAAATGGCTGAGGCTTTGAAGGTGAAATCTAAAAAGGATCTGATACAAATTAATATTATAACATGCGACATATTTTAGATATTTTTGAATTTTGCTCCAAATTTAAGCTGCATTGTGTAACTTTTCTGGCGGAGGGTTTGTCAAATGCATTTTCCTGTGTAGATTGCTGTATTGATTTGTCTGGAATGTTCGAAAGTATGGCATTAAACCTTTCTATCTTCACTGAGACCAAGCCCAAGACCAAGTTACAGATCAGATCTGCGGAGAGGCGACCCCGCTCACAGTCAGAATGTCTGTTTTTCTAGGTTTTTTGAGCTCTAAAACCACCTGTAATTGAAAAAAATGTAAAGTAGAGCTGTTTAATGTCACACTGTGGAACATTCCAGGCAGAGTAATGACGTATCCATAGAAACAAGCAGGTGACGGACCCCCAACCAGAAAAGTTACACAATGCAGCTTTAACCTTTCCTTCACAAATTCATTTTAAAATAGCCGTCTCTGGTACTTGGTCTGTTTTAAAAATATTAAGATCACAGCAAAACTAGACCAGGACTAAACAAAGACTAAACCAGGACTAAATCAGGACTAAATCAGGACTAAACCAGGACTAAATCAGGACTAAAATCAGGACTAAACCAGGACTAAACAGGACTAAATCAGGACTAGACCAGGACTAGATCAAGAGTAGACAAGGACTAAACCAGGACTATACCAGGACTGAAATGACTAAATCAGGACTAAACCAGGACTAAACCAGGTCTAAACCAGGACTAGACCAGGAGCAGACAAGGACTAAACCAGGACTAGACCAGGACTGAACCAGGACAGACTAAACCAGAAACTAAATCCAGGTGTAAACCAGGACCAAACCAGGACTAAACCTGGACCAGACCCAGAAAGTAAATCCAGACTAGACCAGGACTAAACCAGAACTAAACCAGAAACTAAATCTAGGACTAGACCAGGACTAGACCAGGTCTAAACCAGAAAATAAATCCAGACTGGACCAGAACTAAATCAGGACTAGACCAGGACTAAATTAGGACTAAACCAGAATGAGACCTGGACTAAACCAAAAAAATAAATCCACACTAGACCAGGATTAGCCCAGGACTAGAACAGAACCAAACCAAGTCTAGACCAGGACATAAACTGGACTCAAACCAGGACTAAAATAAATGTGAACCTGAGTTGTTTGTAGCTATTAATGATACTGGCCTATTTTAGTACATGGAAAAGCAGAACATTTCCTTATGTTCAATTAATTTTGTTTATGTTCTTATGCAACAAAATGACATACAACAGTTATCTGTCATATTTATAGATTTTGTTTGTATTTTTGGTCAGGTTTCGTGCTTTTTGACTGTCTGTACAGATACGAGAGTGAACCTGTCACCTGTCTGCTGCTGTTCTGAGTACAGTCCCTGACTAAAGTCTTGTCGCTTATCCATTTTGTAGAAACAAAAGCTTATAACCTGACTTTAAATTAATTGATTGGTTTTAGAAATGTCTCATATGAAGCTAAAACCCTCCCAAATTATGCTCAATATACTAAAATAAATTTGCTTCACTGAAGAAAGATTGATCATTTAATGAACACAGAAAGGTCAGATTTTGGCAAGACAAAAGTTTTGTCACCTACAGAAAATTGAACAAATAATTTACTTCAAATACAAAAATATGTTGCATAACATCAGTGAATGAAGTCGTGGTGCTGTGAGATCCATATTTAATATCTTGTATGACTCCATGAGCTTGAAGGACGCATCCATGCGGTTCAACAATGATTCATACAATTTGTTGATGAAGTCATCAGGAATAGCAAAGAAAGCGTCTTACAGCCTCCCAGAGTTCATCAAGATTCTTTGGTTTTGCCTCCATGCTTCCTCTTTCATTCTACCCCAGACCTGCTCAGTGATGTTCATGTCTGGTGACTGGGCTCCAGTCCTGGAGCACCTTGATCTTCTTCGCCTTGAGAAACTTTGATGTAGAGACAGAAGTATGTGATGGAGCACCATCCTGCTGCAGTCGATTAATTTAAAGTCAGGTTATAAGCTTTTGTTTCTACAAAATGGATAAGCGACAAAACCTTTTGTCAGGGACTGTAGTTTGTATGATGCAAATGTAAAAAATAAATTATTAAAAGCTAAAATAGAATGATTGTATGGAAATGTGTGAAGAAAATACGAAAATGTAAAGATAGAATTATTTTTATGAGGGGAAATAAACAGCCTTTGACCCATATTGTGGATATTGTAAAATAAATATAGTTGTATAGTTGTAGGCTAAAGATGTGTAACTGTGGTGAGGCTGTGAATTTAATGTGAAATAAACAAATAAAACGTACACATGAAGGTTTTAATAAAGATGATTTTGTAGGAGTCTGTGCTTGAGTTCGATTACGTTATTTTCTCATCTGTTATAAAGTTGTTTCCTCATCACAAACAGACCTAGAGTTGTGTTTTTTTTGTTTCATGCACACATGTTTAACACACAAATCCTGCATATTTAGGGTTTAGAGTTTTATCAGTTTGAAAACACTCGGTTTCACCTTGTGATGTCATGTGTCACTGTGTTTTTAAACTCCATAGACTACACAAAACTACCAGGAGGGGACACCTGAACACCACAACAAATTTATTTTCATTAATAACAAAAAGTTTCTCTCATCTGAACAGAGTTAAACTATTGTAACATTCTACTGATACTTTACAGATGACGTTATCAATATTCACTGGGGGTGTGAAGCTAACTGATGCACTACTGTGTCTGAAGCTCAGTTTCTCAAATGAGACTTTAATCTGAACTTTGTTTTAACACACTCTGATTAGAAAGAATTGACTTGCTTGGAACTACAACAGGTGAAATTCTGGTAATCAACATATCATCTTTGCACTGTTTTTTTTACGACCTCTCAGAAGTGGGACCAAGTCGCTGTTTTGCAAGTCTCAAGTAAGTCTGTCACCTCAAGTCCAAGTCAAGTCCCAAGTCAAAGACAGGCAAGTCCAAGTCGTCTGCTTTGAGCTTCAAGTCATTTCAAGTCTTTAAACCAAAGTACCAAATATAGCTTTGGTTTTTGATATTTATATGACTTTTAAAGTAAATTATACTAATTGACTAAAGTCATGGTATATTTATATATGAGTATTTATATAAGAGTTGTAGAAATGCAGATTGTACTTTATATTACAGTAGTACATTTGAGGATACTACATCACAGTACTTCCTGTTTGTTACTCCCCTCGAGTTTAAACAAGGCTCAAAATCGTTCTTTGGTTTCAACGAGCATTTATTCGGACTGGAGTTTTGTACATGTCTTTACATGTAAATGAACCTTAATGCCGACGCATGTCAGAACTATAGAAAGGAAAAAAATGAAACTTAAAATTAACCCTCAGATACAAAACACAGTCAGAAAAGTAATTACACAATAAAACAAAACAAAATGTACCTCATTGGCTACATCCACTCAAAGGGAATAAAGTCTTGTCCTTGTAAACTTTTAACTTAAAATAAAATGTCCTTTTGGCTCAGAGGTCAGAACATAGCTCCTCGTGTGGCTCTCAATTAAGACTGTGCAGCCGTAAAAAACTTCCCCTCGAAACAATATGTAATTGGAAGTGGATCAACCAAAATAAAATGAAATTAATTAACATGAACTTACAGGAAAATAACTTATTTATGCTATATATTGCTTTTTAAAATAATTTACTAT